GTAGGTGTGACGGTGAGGGGTCCACATACTTGTAGCAGTGTAGTGTAGGTGTGACGGTGAGGGGTCCACATACTTGTAGCAGTGTAGTGTAGGTGTGACGGTGAGGGGTCCACATACTTGTAGCAGTGTAGTGTAGGTGTTAGGTGTGACGGTGAGGGTCCACATACTTGTAGCACTGTAGTGTAGGTGTGACGGTGAGGGGTCCACATACTTGTAGCACAGTGTAGTGTAGGTGTGACGGTGAGGGGTCCACATACTTGTAGCAGTGTAGTGTAGGTGTGACGGTGAGGGGTCCACATACTTGTAGCAGTGTAGTGTAGGTGTGACGGTGAGGGGTCCACATACTTGTAGCAGTGTAGTGTAGGTGTGACGGTGAGGGGTCCACATACTTGTAGCAGTGTAGTGTAGGTGTGACGGTGAGGGGTCCACATACTTGTAGCAGTGTAGTGTAGGTGTGACGGTGAGGGGTCCACATACTTGTAGCATAGTGTAGTGTAGGTGTGACGGTGAGGGGTCCACATACTTTGTAGCAGTGTAGTGTAGGTGTGACGGTGAGGGGTCCACATACTTGTAGCAGTGTAGTGTAGGTGTGACGGTGAGGGGTCCACATACTTGTAGCAGTGTAGTATAGGTGTGACGGTGAGGGGTCCACATACTTGTAGCAGTGTAGTGTTGGTGTAACGGTGAGGGGTCCACATACTTGTAGTAGTGTAGGTGTGTGACGGTGAGGGGTCCACATACTTGTAGCAGTGTAGTGTAGGTGTGACGGTGAGGGGTCCACATACTTGTAGTAGTGTAGGTGTGACGGTGAGGGTCCACATACTTGTAGCAGTGTAGTGTAGGTGTGTGACGGGTGAGGGGTCCACATACTTGTAGCAGTGTAGTGTAGGTTGTGACGTGTGAGGGGTCCACATACTTGTAGCAGTGTAGTGTAGGTGTGACAGGTGAGAGGTCCACATACTTGTAGCAGTGTAGTGTAGGTGTGACGGTGAGGGGTCCACGTCTTTGTAGCAGTGTAGTGTAGGTGTGACGGTGAGGGGTCCACATACTTGTATAGTGTAGTGTGTGACGGTGAGGGGTCCACATACTTGTAGCAGTGTAGTGTAGGTGTGAAGGTGAGGGGTCCACATACTTGTAGCAGTGTAGTGTAGGTGTGACGGTGAGGGGTCCACATACTTGTAGCAGTTGTGTAGTGTAGGTGTGACGGTGAGGGGTCCACATACTTGTAGCAGTGTAGTGTAGGTGTGACGGTGAGGGGTCCACATACTTGTAGCAGTGTAGTGTAGGTGTGACGGTGAGGGGTCCACATACTTGTAGCAGTGTAGTGTAGGTGTGACGGTGAGGGGTCCACATTACTTGTAGCAGTGTAGTGTAGGTGTGACGGTGAGGGGTCCACATACTTGTATGCACTGTAGTGTAGGTGTGACGGTGAGGGGTCCACATACTTGTAGCAGTGTAGTGTAGGTGTGACGGTGAGGGGTCCACATACTTGTAGCAGTGTAGTGTAGGTGATGGTGAGGGGTCCACATACTTGTAGCAGTGTAGTGTTGGTGTGACGGTGAGGGGTCCACATACTTGTAGCAGTGTAGTGTAGGTGTGACGGTGAGGGGTCCACAACTTGTAGCAGTGTAGTGTAGGTGTGACGGTGAGGGGTCCACATACTTGTAGCAGTGTAGTGTAGGTGTGACGGTGAGGGGTCCACATACTTGTTAGCAGTGTAGTGTAGGTGTGACGGTGAGGGGTCCACATACTTGTAGCAGTGTAGTGTATGTGTGACGGTGAGGGGTCCACATACTTGTAGCAGTGTAGTATAGGTGTGACGGTGAGGGGTCCACATACTTGTAGCAGTTTAGTGTTGGTGTGACGGTGAGGGGTCCACATACTTGTAGCAGTGTAGTATAGGTGTGACGGTGAGGGGTCCACATACTTGTAGCAGTGTAGTGTAGGTGTGACGGTGAGGGGTCCACATACTTGTAGCAGTGTAGTATAGGTGTGACGGTGAGGGGTCCACATCTTGTAGCAGTGTAGTGTAGGTGTGATGGTGAGGGGTCCACATCTTGTAGCAGTGTAGTATAGGTGTGACGGTGAGGGGGTCCACATACTTGTAGCAGTGTAGTGTAGGTGTGACGGTGAGGGGTCCACATCTTGTAGCAGTGTAGTGTAGGTGTGACGGTGAGGGGTCCACATACTTGTAGCAGTGTAGTGTAGGTGTGACGGTGAGGGGTCCACATACTTGTAGCAGTGTAGTGTTGGTGTGACGGTGAGGGGTCCACATACTTGTAGCAGTGTAGTATAGGTGTGACGGTGAGGGGTCCACATACTTGTAGCAGTGTAGTGTAGGTGTGACGGTGAGGGGTCCACATACTTGTAGCAGTGTAGTATAGGTGTGACGGTGAGGGGTCCACATCTTGTAGCAGTGTAGTGTAGGTGTGATGGTGAGGGGTCCACATCTTGTAGCAGTGTAGTGTAGGTGTGACGGTGAGGGGTCCACATACTTGTAGCAGTGTAGTATAGGTGTGACGGTGAGGGGTCCACATACTTGTAGCAGTGTAGTGTAGGTTGTGACGGTGAGGGGTCCACATCTTGTAGCAGTGTAGTGTAGGTGTGTGACGGTGAGGGGTCCACATACTTGTAGCAGTGTAGTGTAGGTGTGACGGTGAGGGGTCCACATAAAACCCTATTGTGCATCTCTGAACTGCAATTGCCACCATTGCCAGCGTTTGCTTCTCACTCTTACCTGGAACGTGTGGGTCTTCCAGTCCCGTGGGGATCTTCCATTGATCAACCTGCAGCTTCAGTGCGTTCACTTCATCAATGTCACCAGGGACCCTGCGAGGACAAACACATCATCATGTCATGGCGCTGGCTCAGTGGATTCACTTGTTACAAAGCCGAAAAATCCATCATGATATCACAGAGATATATGAATGACACCAGCGTGATCTACTTCAGGTATTTTCTGGAGGTAAACATAACGACAGGATTACCTACATACAGTGCAAAGACTGGCGTGTGCAAGGCAGCCAGATCTTACCGTTTTCTAATTCTGTATGGAGAAGGTACAACAATAATATCTTTCACAATTTTTTTTCAATGCTGACATCATACAAATCTTTAAAACCTTTGAAGTAGAGTTTGCACCAGAGGAGCTTACACTCTAATGTCAGTCTCTGGTTGTGTGGTTTTTCTTTCTGTCCTTTCACGTCCCCTAGATTTTTATAAGATCATATTTTTGGAAAAAAGCTGCATGCATGGGTTCAATGTTTAATCGTTTTCTTAGCCTGAGCGTGTGTGCAGGTGGAGGTAGGGTCGTGTTTTGCAGAATTTGGTAGTTTACGGATAATAAAATGATGTTTCTTTGTATATAGTTCTATTTATGTTATTTTTGGAAAAAAAAAATATTTTCATTTATGATATTTGCCGATGTAAGCTTGTTTGTTTTTAATAGACAGACAGACAGATATAGATAGTATATACATTTTATTTTAGTTTTTGTATATATGTAAATATTTTTTATTAACAATATGTATGTTTGCAAGATTTGAAATAAACAAATATTTGCACTATAATGTCCCCTCCCCCGCAGTCACACACTATTATTATTATACATTTATATAGCTCTGACATATACCGCAGAGCTGTACAGAGAACACTGAGCCGGTCCCATCAGTCTCTGTACCAGAGGAGCTTACACTCTAATGCCCCCTCCCCCCCCCCCCAGTCACATCAGTCTCTGTACCAGAGGAGCTTACACTCTAATGTCCCCCCCTCCCCACAGTCACATCAGTCTCTGTACCAGAGGAGCTTACACTCTAATGTCCCCTTTCCCTCCCCCACAGTCACATCAGTCTCTGTACCAGAGGAGCTTACACTCTAATGTTCCCTCCCCCACAGTCACAGTACCAGAGGAGCTTACACGCTAATCTATCCCATACTCACAGAAAGACACACCCTTTGGGTTCTGCTTGTAGTTAGAAGGTAATTGACTCCCCCCCCCCCCCCCCTCCCCTTAGAGGAAAGAGATGTGAATCCAGAGGAGACCAACATAAGCATCGGAAGAACATGCAAACTCCATGTTTATGGGTGGAAATTAACTACAGAGCCCCAGTGCCGTAAGGCCACAGTTCTGACCACTTATCCACCATCATTCCCATATTTCTGTCAATATCTGGAGATAAAGTCAATGCTGGACCGTACCTGAAGATGCCCACCTCGGTCTGATCTCCGTTCAGTGCCAGCACCTCCTCGGACAGCCGGGTCTGCACCCAGGGAAGCTGCCTCTCTGGGTACTTCTCCTTCTGCATATTCATAATCTCCTGTAAGGAGCTGGCAAACATGGAAGGGCTGAAGACGGCATTGCGGGCGTGTTTGATCTCTTCAATGTTCGGTTTCTTCAGTCCCTGGAACACAATGAAGAGGCAAGAAGTTACGTGGGATCTAGGATATACCACAAGGCGACAGGTAAAGGCCTCACTGTCACTGTCACACATCTGGCATTCAGATCTCTCCCTGAAAATAGGGGGCACCATGATGGGTGCACCATGCTTGGAAGGCTAGGACCCGCCACTGTTTTGTTGATGAAGGAATGCATGCCATTTGAGATAACAAATACTCAAACCTGTTTGGCTATACTTGAAGCCCGAGACCAATAATATGGGAGAAATGTTTGTTTTACTCATCAGCACAGTTTTGTACAGCTTACACACACTTATCTATCCCATCCTACTACCTGCCATGGTCAGTATGGTGTAAGGAGTAGAGGTGAGAGGACGGGGGGAGGCTGCAGGAGGACACTGCTGTTTATGGGGGCCTTTCTCAACAAGAGTTCCTCAAACAAAGAGCAATTATCGTACTGTCTGTCTGGAATGGGGCATTCTTCTTATTTACCAACAGTGTAAGAACCATTCCTTTGTTTGCCGAACAATGCTAGGAACAATCTTCCCACTGATCACCAATGTAAGGAGCATTCTTCCCACTGATCACCAATGTAAGGGACATTCTTCTCACTGACCACCAATGTAAGGAGCATTCTTCTCACTGATCACCAATGTAAGGGACATTCTTCCCACTGACCACCAATGTAAGGAGCATTCTTCCCACTGATCACCAATGTAAGGAACATTCTTCCCACTGACCACCAATGTAAGGGACATTCTTCCCACTGATCACCAATGTAAGGGACATTCTTCCCACTGATCACCAATGTAAGGGACATTCTTCCCACTGATCACCAATGTAAGGGACATTCTTCCCACTGATCACCAATGTAAGGGGCATTCTTCCCACTGACCATTAATGTAAGGGACATTCTTCCCACTGACCATTAATGTAAGGGACATTCTTCCCACTGACCCCCAATGTAAGGGACATTCTTCCCACTGACCCCCAATGTAAGGGACATTCTTCCCACTGATCACCAATGTAAGGGACATTCTTCCCACTGACCTCCAATGTAAGGACCATTCTTCCCACTGATCACCAATGTAAGGAGCATTCTTCCCCACTGACCTCCAATGTAAGGGGACATTCTTCCCACTGACCATTAATGTAAGGGACATTCTTCCCAATTTTTCTTTATTAAAAGTCTTGCAATCAATAAACATAAAAATATTATACAGAATATATAAAAAAATTATATATATTTACAGCAAAACGAAAATAAACATAGCAAAATCTGCTGTCAGACAAAAGCAAACGTCTCAGAAATGAACATGACATAATTGGGGAAATAAATCGTACTACCACTCACATCACTACACCAGACATCAAAACCTGTGAGGTCAAGAAACCACCCCGCCCCCCTTATGCATGCAGCCCTTCTTCAAAAAAGATCTTATCAACAAAAACTACGGGAGTGAAAAGAACAGTATAAGTAAAGAGCCCCTCACCCAGAGATGGACAGTTCACAAAGGCAGGTCTGATATTCCTCCACGCCCTTATCCAGACCGCCCGAGGCTCCCTGCCCCTTCTCAAGACCCCGAATCTTCCCAAACCTCACCCAGAATAAATCGTGCACACACCACCTCATACAGGAAGGACTTTCTTCCGGATGGTAATCTGACACCGTGCGTTCCACGTGAAGTAACGGACAACTATACTAACTAGAAAAAGTGTATCCAAATCAAAGTCCCAGCGAGCTGGGAATGCCCCGTACACCCACTCTGCATAACTCATGTGGATAGAGAGAAAGGGGATGCCCAGAACCCTCCCCACCCTTTTATACACCTCTATGTTAAAGGACACAGGAGCAGAAAGTGGTCCATAGACTCCACTTTACCAACACACTCTGCTCTAGGACAATCCCGATCATCCACAGGGCGGTGCTTCAGGTTCCCTCTCACATAGAGCCTACCATGGAAAGCGATGCCAGGCTTGATCCCTAAACTTCAAAGGGGATTCTATCTCCAAGTTAACATTAAACGCAATCCCTCCCTCATTACGGAGCCTGGGCAATCCTTTAAGGCCAGTGACACACTGAAAGCAGAAGCCAAAATCCTCTCCCCAGAAGCTTCCTGGGAAGGGACCTGATATCCTCCACTGTCACCTGCCACTGCCGAAGTATTTTCAGACACGGGGCAACATAAGCCGGGGAGCTTGCCATGTCGGACTCTCAGACTTTTCACTGGGGCCAGCCATCTTCCCAGCAATGCAGAAAAGGCCTAAACCAAGACTGAAAAATATCCCACCCATCCCGGCGGGGGTCTCTGCTAACATATTACCAAGATTGTACTTTAAAAGAGCAAAGAAAAGAAAAACTATCGGGTTGACCATTCCTAGGCCACCCTCCCCGCTGGACAGGTAAGTTACATTGCGTTTGATCAGGTTCAAGCTATTTCCCCATAACAGTTGGAAAAGAAAAAAAAACAGCTGTAGACCCTTGCATAGAGAGATACCGGCAAGATACAGACGAAGCTTGACATATAAAAAGATCGGGATCAGCGGTAAGTTTTGATCAAGTCAACCCTCTCTCTCAAGGAAAGCTATCCATCTTTTCCAGCTTGTCCACTACTTTGGCATTGGTCACACTACCAACCTGCCTTTCCCAGTTTCGAATGACCATAGTCACCAGGACCAAATTTGATGCCCAAAATTTTATTTCCTGCTGGGGCTCTGGGAAGGCATCCGGAAGTTCGAAGCTTTCACCCTCCTCGCCCATCCAGGAAAACTTCACTCTTTTCATGGTTGATCTTTAGAGCCAGAAGCCTCCGTGTACTGCTCTATCACATGAGCCACCTCCTGCGCCTCCTCAGTCCCAGAGATAATAACAGACACATCATCAGCATAGGCAACGACCTTCAAAGGCGGCACGCCTTAGCAATGCCCAGAGGCACCCCCGCACAACGATGCGCCCTCTAGCCTTCTTACAAAGGGGTCGATTGCGAAAGCATATAGCTGGGGGCTCAAAGGACATCCCTGGCGCACACCAGAGCCGACCTCAAAAGGACCGCCCAAAACCCAACCATTCAAACAAGTGGGGAAGCTCTCAGCCCCTTTATATAATGTCTTCAGCCAATCTTATAAATCTTACTCCCCTGCAGGCCGTATCTACCAAGCAGCAACCACAGATATTCATGATTCACTCGATCAAAAGCTTTCGCCTGATCCAATGCCAGCAAGTACTTTCTCCATCCAGCAAGCCCTCATCGTTCCAAAGCCTCCGGATAGCCAAAACTGCTGAAAAGGTACTTCTACCTTGGACCGAACAGTGCTGATGGCTGGACAAACAAATCGCGCTGCTACTGACGACAAGCGCCCCAAAATAGAATCTTTGCCAAGATCTTTCTATCAACATTGAGAAGACTGATGGGGCGCCAGTTCTCAATCATTGAGGGGTCTTTACCTTTTGACAGAAGAATCACAGCGGATTGCCTCATGGATGGGAGGGAGCGAACCCTCTTCTAGACAGCTGTTAAAAAACCTCCGCTAAAAAGGGAGGCCAGAATGGACTTAAAAACACTTGTAAAATTCAGCTGTCAATCCATCTGGCCCAGGCGATTTTTTGGTAGCCAGCTTGTCTATAGCCTGAACTACCTCATCCGCTGAAATTGGTTCTGTCAAATTCATCAAAAGCAATGCACCATTTCCCAATCCTGGAGTAGAATCCCTGAAAGCTTTCCATCCTGTCCCGGCTAAGGTCCTTTCTTCCCAGGAGGTCTGCATAATACGACCCAAAGATCTCCAAGATCCCTGATCTGGACTTTATCAGGGAACCGTACTGTCTTTCAGGCCAATGACCGTCTTAACTGCTATGCCTTGCTTACAGTTCTGGTAAGGATCAGGGTGAGTGATATTTCCCATAATCCCTCTCCAGAACCAAGGAGGCATGCCGGTCGTATTGACACTTCCTAAGAAGAAGCTTCACTTCAGAGATCTCCCCTGGATCTCCTCCATACGAGACAAGACGATCAAGCTTCCTCCGCAAATGCTGGTAGGGCAATATACATACCCAAGCTGCTTCTTCTTACTTATGGCCTTGAAAAGTCCAATCGCCCTTTGTTTCACAAGCTCCCACCACTCTGACTTATGCTGCAAAAGTCCAGAATAGAAACCTGTGCCTGAAAAAAATCCTCAACAGGGATTGTCTTACCTCTACATCTTCCAGGGAGAGCCGAATTCAGTTTCCAGACACCCTTCCCCTGGGTGGAGTGTCCGAGGCATTCAGAGTCACAGACAGCATTACAGTGGTCAGAGAACTCCACCGCCTTCAACTCAGGAGCTGAGAGAAAGCAGAGTTCTCCTTTAAAAAAAACCTGTCTATCCTGCTCTGACTATTCCTCTCTGAAATGTGAACCCCGTGCTGCCAGGGCAGTGCTTAATGTGCACATCTACCAGGCCTGCCTGTCTAACCAAATCTCTGAGAAAAAACGCTATCATACCCAGCCTGTCTATGGAGCCTCTCCTGTCTTCAGGCCTAATTATGGTGTTACAAGTCACCTCCAAAGACAACCTGCTGGGACGTAAAAAAAGGAAGGGCTTGATCTTTGTGAGGAGGCATTTCCTGCCCCATTTTGACTGTGGTCCATAGATATTGATCAGGCGCAGGTCCTGCCCCCTAACAGAGACGTCCTAAGACCCTGCATCTCCCCATTTCTACCTCAATCACCTGCCGGCACGTTACCATATCGGTTTTAAAAAGGACCGCAACTCCGCTGCAAGGTTCAGCCGCAAGAGACCAAAAGGGGAGGGACCACATCTCCACTCCCTTTTTGCTAGATAGACATCGGCCAATGTATTGAGCCAGGTCTCTTGCAAAAATAAAAATCTCAGCATCAAACTCGCCTGAGCAAAAATAAGGCCGTATCACGAGCTCTTGCAGATTTAATGCTGGCGACATTAATGGTCACCACCTTTAACAGAGTGGGAACTGCCATCAGGATGATTGGGGTAGTCGTTTCCTAACCTCTACCACACTCTCATCACCCGAAACAGCTCTCTTCAGAGTACGTGACTCCCCCTCATCCATAGATGATAGAGAAATGGATATTATCCGATACCATCTCATCACCTGACAAAACTGAAAAAGTATTGCCAAGAGGGACCCCTCCTGGGGATCTGATTCTGAGGAAGAGAGGACAGCTCTTCTCATCCTCTTCTTCTTCTTCCTCTTCTCCTTCACCCTCTCCCCCACCCCTCATCAGCCGAATCCCCCCCAGCAGGAGGGTGAGACATGGGACATGGATACCCCTCCCTGAGCCCATATCGGCTCCACCCCCATCGGCACCCCACAACCTCCTGACCACGTTTGCGCTGTCGGGGGGGACAGGTACCGGAGGTGGAGTAGTATGCCGAGAGGGAAGATCAGCTAAAAACCCCCCCCCCAGCAGCTTCCGCCAGTCTGGAGGATCTACGTACTGTAGGATTAGGGACAGGAGGACAGACTCAGGGGTGACATTACTGGGGGAAACACAATCTGACACAACAGAGGACACACAACAGACACAGGAGGTACAACTACAGTTTCCTCCCGGCATCAGCTGCCACCTCATCCTCTTTATCCAGCCTCTGCAGCTCAGCCTCCAGTCCTGGCAGGTTGTGTAGTGCCTCTGGGCACAGACTGTATGGATGACCCATCTGCTGGCACAAATTACACCGAATCTCGGTGCATTCTTTGGCCAAATGGCCAAAAAATCCTGGCACAGTGAGCACTTTCTTGATGGTGCAGGACGATGCAAAATGGCCTTTCTCTCCGCATTTGTTACAAACTTTAGGCTGACTTGATAGAAAATGGTCAGCCTATCCCTCCCCAGAAAGGCTGAGCGGGAAGATGCTGAACCACATTGCCCAGCACCCTCAATTGCACTGACACCGTCCAGGCCCCTGTCCATATATCCTATGCTCATCCAGGGACCTTCCGCAGTGTGGGGTGAGGACCTCACCATGTGCGGCGTAGCCAAACTACTAAATCAGCCTCTGGTATGGATTCATTCCGGACCAGGATTGTCACCGATTTTTATCAAAGGCTGTCTGGAAACAACCTTTGCCACCAAACCTCTCCACTGCTGAAGGCTCCTGCACCTCCAATATCTCTCCCAAAACAGGTCCAGGCCTTCAGGTTTTACAAATGACAAATCGTATTCATAGCTGCCTACTGGGCAGATCAATGCAAACACATCACAGGCTTTAAACCCCATCTCTAGAATCAACTCCGCCACCCTCCCCCTTACTGGTGGGTTCCCTTCCCCCTCCCACTTCAACTGTACCACATTCCTTCTCCTGACCCCACCAAAACCATCCACCACCACCAAACCACCCCATTATTGTGACCATTAGCATTCCCAAACACTCCCCCCCACCCCCTTGGTGCGACTCCCCAAAACAGAGGCATAGCTCCCCCCAATCCTCCCAGCAGCAGAAACATTTGTGTGTCTGGGATCATCTGGTGCAACTCTGGCAGATACCGATTGCACAGATCCGGGATTGGATGGTGTATCCTCTTTCTGCTCAGCAGGGGGAGAAATGTCATTTTTTACCTCTGTCAGCAATGTTAACCCCTTCACCTCCACCCACCACCAACACCTCCATTGCTTTTACCAGTCTCAACAGTCATAGACTTCACAGCAATGTCCCACACTCACTGCTGCAACCATAGAAGCTCCATCAATCATCTCTCCTTCCAAGGAAGGAGACTCAGCCCAGGACTGGATTGGATTCTCAGGGACACAGCAACAAGTGACATCCATACTTGCTGTTTTCTCTCCACATGGTGCAGTGTGCTGCTCCCCTCCACCACCAGCATCAATCAGGTCTGGAGCACCTGGGAGCTCAGGTGAAACAGTCTCTCTGCAGGTGGCAGCCATCTTGCCTGTAGAGGGGACTACTGGTCTCAGCAGGAACAGCAATTTCCATCTGTGAGGTGCTTGGTGCAGGTTCATCCACATTCCCTGATGGTATGGAGACCTCTCTGCCAGGGATTTTCCCTCCAGGTTGGATGAGGATTCCTCCACAGCAGGCTGCTTGCAGAGCTCCTCATCAGCAGTAGTCACCACAGCATGGTGGGGCAGACATGTGGGAGCAGCCATCTTGGTGTATTGGGATCTCTCCACCAGTCTTGGCTTTGCTGCTCTGTATCCCTCTGTCCATCTTCAGGGACTTTGCAGGGTCATCAGTGAAGGCGAACTTGTCTGACTCTCAGGGGTGACTCCATGTGCTGAATGAACTTCAGGGTTCCATATTCACCCTCAACCCCCTGGCTGGTTGCCACTGGTGATTCCAGCCTGACATGGGGGGGGAGAGACGCTGATGTAGATGGAACTGGGTCATCCATTACCTGAGGCTGCTGATCCACAGAGCTCACTGATGTCTGGCTGGCAAATCTCCTCTCATGTTCAAATTTTTCTTTAAACGCTCCACTTCTGGCTTTCAACTTTTCTAATAATAAAGATTGTTTCTTTACTTTATCCTCCATGTGCTGGAGCGCTGGCCTTCATGCCCAATCTGTTCTTGCTCCAGGCCTGGCAGTATTTGGCTCTGAAGGTTTTGTGTTCAGATTTCAAAACATTGAGTTTCTCCTCAGCTCTTCCAATAGTCAGCGCCAATCTATCAACAATCTTCTGTCTGAAGACATCGACATCCTCACCAGGGCTGGGACCCCACACAGTAGGTCCTCCACCTCCTCCTCTTCACTAGGCCCCGGTCTCATCAGGGGAATCCCTCCCAGGGGCCTCCCCCTGGATCAGGCATGGTTCCTGGGCCAAGCTAGCAGGCAAGGCCCAGGCTTGAAAATGCTGGTTTCTCAGGAGAGCTCCTTCAGTGTGTCCTCCTCCTTCTCCCACTGACCACCAATGTAAGGGACATTCTTCCACTGATCACCAATGTAAGGGACATTCTTCCCACTGATCACCATGTAAGGGACATTCTTCCCACTGATCACCAATGTAAGGGGCATTCTTTCCCACTGATCACCAATGTAAGGGACATTCTTCCCACTGATCACCAATGTAAGGAGCATTCTTCCCACTGACCACCAATGTAAGGGACATTCTTCCCACTGGATCACCAATGTAAGGGACATTCTTCCCACTGACCCCCAATGTAGGGACATTCTTTCCACTGATCACCAATGTAAGGGACATTCTTCCACTATGACCCCCAATGTAAGGGACATTCTTCCCACTGATCACCAATGTAAGGGATATTCTTCCCACTGATCACCAATGTAAGGGACAATTCTTCCCATGACCACCAATGTAAGGGACATTCTTCCCACTGACCACCAATGTAAGGGGGACATTCTTCCCACTGACCCCCAATGTAAGGGACATTCTTCCCACTGATCACCAATGTAAGGGACATTCTTCCCACTGACCATTAATGTAAGGGACATTCTTCCCACATGATCACCAATGTAAGGGACATTCTTCCCACTGACCATTAATGTAAGGGAATTCTTCCCACTGACCCCAATGTAAGGGACATTCTTCCCACTCACCATTAATGTAAGGGACATTCTTCCCACTGACCCCCAATGTAAGGAACATTCTTCCCACTGACCCCCAATGTAAGGGACATTCTTCCACTGACCACCAATGTAAGGGACATTCTTCCCACTGACCACCAATGTAAGGGACATTCTTCCCACTGTATCACCAATGTAAGGGACATTCTTCCCACTGACCACCAATGCAAGGGACATTCTTCCCACTGACCTCCAATGTAAGGGACATTCTTCCCACTGACCATTAATGTAAGGACATTCTTCCCACTGATCACCAATGTAAGGGACATTCTTCCCACTGACCATTAATGTAAGGGACATTCTTCCCACTGACCCCCAATGTAAGGGGACATTCTTTTCCCACTGACCATTAATGTAAGGGACATTCTTCCCACTGACCCCCCAATGTAAGGAACAATTCTTCCCACTGACCCCCAATGTAAGGGGACATTCTTCCCACTGACCACCAATGTAAGGGACATTTCTTCCCACTGACCACCAATGTAAGGACATTCTTCCCACTGATCACCAATGTAAGGGACATTCTTCCCACTGACCACCAATGCAAGGGACATTCTTCCCACTGACCTCCAATGTAAGGGACATTCTTCCCACTGACCCCCAATGTAAGGAGCATTCTTCCCACTGATCACCAATGTAAGGGGCATTCTTCCCACTGATCACCAATGTAAGGGACATTCTTCCCACTGATCACCAATGTAAGGGGCATTCTTCCCACTGATCACCAATGTAAGGGACATACTTCCCACTGATCACCAATGTAAGGGACATTCTTCCCACTGATCACCAATGTAAGGGGCATTCTTCCCACTGATCACCAATGTAAGGAGCATTCTTCCCACTGATCACCAATGTAAGGGACATTCTTCCCACTGATCACCAATGTAAGGGACATTCATCCCACTGATCACCAATGTAAGGGAACACTACAATTTTCTCTTTCTCTCTCTGCTTTTTTTAATGGTTATTGTTGCATATATTATACATATTTCCATTGTTTCATTTTACATTATTATTGAAAATGTTTTTTTCTATGGAGTAGCCCCCCCCCCGGTGTTAAATATAGTAGAAATGTCACATTCCTTATTCCTTTATTTAGGGTGAGGGTTTCCTGAGGCCTGAAAGTTAATATATTGGTTCCTCCATGTTAGAAAAAAAAAAGTTGAGAAAGGCTGGTCTATGGAGGGGACATGGCCCTGCAGAGGGCAGCATTGAGCTGCTCTTGATCACTTGACATGCATCCTGTTCATTCTGTACTATATGCTGTATTTAGAGAAAGCAGTAAACAATGTTCCATTTTAGCTGGAAGAGGCGTGTTATCTTGCAGATCACAGACAAGTAGAGGGTACACAGAGATATCTGACCACATATGATGGATATGACATCTCACTACTACTCAGCCCCCTGGAAAAGCAGCATTTACAATAACGGCATTAGAATGATCATGTTTAATTGCCAGGGAAGTTTCTTTATACACCGTTGGTGGCGACATTCAACCTGTATTATCCCTTTACAGGATTGCCCCGAGGGTCCCTGCGGACCGGCAGGCTACAGATGCTAAATCCCCGGGATAAGAGATTAAGTCTGTCCTAATCCATCGTAGTATTCTTCCTCCAGCAGACAGACACATTAAAGGGAAATGTCCACGTGTTAATGCCGATGAACGGAGGGCCTAATTAAAATGCTGCGCGAATCTGTGGAAGTGCATTAGTGTAGCGGGAAGGGAGCAGCGCCGAGGGTTGCCATGGTAACAGGTCGTCACTGCAGTCGCTCTCCGGAATCCTTATTAATATCGCCACTTCTCCGCAGACCTCGCTGCAATAATATGCACGGTCAATGCAGCAAGGGCCCACACCCTCCTCACCGGCAATGCTGCATGGCCTCCACCATGAGACACGACAATCATGCACCTAGAACTATGCACCGCACCCACCAACCATGGAACACGGCAATAAAGAAAACACTGCGCGTTCTGAATCACTAAAATCCTATATAAACAAAATGTTCGCATCATTTTAAAAGTAATTTGCAATCTTTTGAAATCTGCATTTTTCCTGAAAGCGGAACTTCACTCTCTCAATCAACATTGGTGATTTTTTAATCCTTATGCTGCCAGCATTAGTAAATAGATAGGAAATGATATCATATTTAATTGTTTTACATAGTTAGTCTGGCTGAAAAAAAGACAAAAGTCCATCCAGTTCAACCATTAAAAAAAAAATAAAAAAAGTTATAATCCTACACCCACAGTTGATCCAGAGGAAGGCATAAAAACCCAGCAAAGCATGATCCAATTTGCTCCTGCAGGGGAAAAAATCCTTCCTGATCCCCCCGAGAGGCAATCGGATATTCCCTGGATCAACGTCACCTATAAATGTTATATCCAGTTATATTCTGTGTATCCAAGAAAGAATCCAGGACTTTCCTACAGCAATCCACTGAGCTGGCCACAACCAACTCTTGAGGGAGTCTTTCCACATTCTCACAGCTCTTACTGTGAAGAAACCTTTCTGTGTTTGGAGATTAACCGCATGCCGCCCAGCCACTGTACATATACGGCGGCAGGGCGGCACTCACAGGCAAAACCACGTTTTAAGACGTGTGTTTTGTAAACAAATAGGGAGCGCGTGCGAGGCGCGCCGCCGCCCTATTTGTCCTGTGGATCACCGCCGCAGATGTCAGTCGCCAGGTCACAGCCGCTCCTTAACGGCTATGTCCCGGTGATCGGCGGCAATCAGTGACAGAGAGCACAGCTGCAGTAGCTGTTCTGTCTGTCACTTCCTTCTCAGCTCGAGGATGAGCTGATCGAGAAAGAGGAGTTTCTCTTTCTCGATCAGCCTTGTCCCGCCCAGTACACCCCCCCGCCCCCTAGTAAAAACACTCCCCTCACTCCTATAACTCTTCCCTACAAAAATAAAGTTAACCCCTTCCTCCCCATTGCCATTAGTACAGTGTCAGTTTTTTTTTTTTTTTGCACTGATCACTGTATTAGTGTTTTTGGGGATGTCAGTGACCCCCAAGTCAGTACCCCCCAATGTCTGAATGTCCGCCGCAGTCCCGCCATAAGTCGCTGGTCGCTGCCATAAGTCCCTGATCGCCACCATTATTAGTATAAAAAAAAACCTAAAAATCCCAGTATCTTTCCCGCCATTTGTAAACCGCACTATAACTTTCACATAAACCAATTAATTTACACGTATTGGGTTTTTTTTTAGCAAAGAGATGTCGCAGAATGCATTTTGGCAGAAATTTATGACTAAATTAGATTTTTGCATTTTTTTTTTACTTTACATGTTTTATAGCAAAAAGTCCAAAATATTGTTTTTTTTCCTCAAAATTGTCAGCCTTTTTTTTTTTTTATAGCGCAAAAAATAAAAACCGCACAGGCAATCAAATACCACTGAAAGAAAGCTCAACTTGTGGGGGAAAAAAAGGATGTAAATTTAGTTTATGTACCGTATTGCATGACCGCGCACAATTGTCCGTTAAACTAGCGCAGTGCTGTATAGCAAAAAAATGGCGTAAATTGCAGTATATATCCCATAGTTTGTAGACGCTATAACTTCCACACAAAGCAATCAATATACACTTATTGGGATTTTTTTTACCAAAAACATGGAGCAGAATACATTTTGGCCTAAATTTATAACCAACTTTGAGTTTACTATTTATTTTTTATAGCTGAAAATAAAAAATATTGTTTTTCTTCAACATTTTTGGCCTTTTTTTGTTTATAGCGTGAAAAATAAAAAGCGCAGAGGTGATCAAATTACACCGAAAGAAAGCTCTATTTGTGTGAAAAAAGGACGTAAATTTTGTTTGGGTGCAGCATTGCATGACCGCGCAATTATCAGTTGAATTAGTGCAGCGCCGAGTAGCAAAAAGAGGCCTGGTCAGGAAGGGGGGTAAATCCTCTGGCGCTAAAGTGGTTAAATCTCTTTTCCTCCAGACGTAAAGAGCGCCCCCTTGTCCTCTGTGATGACCTCAGGGTGAATAGCGCCACACCGAGTTCACTATATAAACCATTTTTTTTTTTTTTTTTACATTTCTTCATTTATCTCCCGGTTTCCATGCCTTCTGGTTAACAAGCCCCCCATGTAGCATTGGGCAGTTGACAGGTTCTTTTTATAGAGACACTGTGGGGTTTATTTACTAAAGCTGGAAAGTGCAAAATCAGGCTCACTTCTACATAGAAACCGGAGTTTTTCAGCGTTTTTGCATTTAGCGACGTTTTGCCACGATTAGCTGCGTTTTAAACTTTCAGCGCGGTCACACTTTGAATGACAATTACTCAGTCATGCAACATTGTACCCAAATGACATTTTTATCATTCTTTGAGATGGACCTTTTTTTGGTGGTATTTAATCGCCACAGGGTTTTTTTTTTATCATTTGCTAAATAAACAAAAACATACGTAAAATTTTGAAAAAAAAACATGTTTTTCTTAGTTTCTGTTCTTTTTTCCTAAATTTAGGCCACAATATATTTTTTTTGGGGAAAAATAGCCCAAATCAGTGTCTGTAGGAAAGTTATAAAGTCTACAAACTATGGTATAAATCTGAAAATTGATCAATCCTGATGTACCTATCTCATTTCTTTAGACCCTAAAATGGCAGGACAGTACAAATACCCAAATACCCCCCCCCCCCCCCCCAATTACCCCAATTACCCCTTTTTGGAAATCAGACACTTCAAGGTGTTTAGTCAGAGGCACAGTCAGTTTTTTTAAGTTGTAATTTTTTTGTCCCAATTTTTAACAAATTTTTTTTCTCAATTTTGTTTTTTTTTTTTTATACATGGTCAGTGTCATCAAATGACTGGTGTGGCACTGATCAGGAACACTGACTGGTGAGAGTATGTAAAAATAAATAAAAAAACAAATAAATAAAAGAAAGTATAATTATTTTTCAAATGTTTTAACTTTTTTTTACATATACTGTGACCAAAAGCAGTAGTGTCCCCATAGTAACACTTTACTGCTTTGGGGAGGTAATCAGAGTTTTTTTTTTCTTTACAGTATGGTTGCTTATTTCAGTGATGATCACTGTTATAAGCAATCATTTTTTGAATGGCATCTATTCACGTGCCATTGTGTACACATGGTACAGGTCCGCTGCGAATGGCCTTGTCTGTACCATGAGATCACTGTGCCCAATCACAGAGATCACAGTAGCCCACCATGACTAATAGAGTGGTTATGAATGAGAGCCATTGTGTACATCTGGTCACGGTGATCCCATGGTACCGGGACCGACCCGGTACAACAATCTGACAGATCGCTCCACTGCGCAGCCCCTAGGGTGAGCATGAGGTGTGCGACTGAGAGGACATCATATGACATCCACTCAGAATAACGAAGCTCCTGCCCGGCTGTCATTTTACAATAGGTCAGGTGTGAGGTGGTTAAATATTTTGCCTTCCCTGGTTCCTCCCATGATAATAAAATAAAAAAAAACTTTATATTTCCATTTTATACTTTAGGATCTCTGAGTTTCTCTATGCAATGCAGGCAGACTATGGCTGGTGAGAGGGGCTGACAGGGTGCTGTACATAGCTTCCTGAAAACACAAAGCACCCGGAATCAGTACTTCTTTCAAGAGCCTTTGGCCCTGAGGTAATTAGTGGGCTGGCTCTTGTGAGGAGTTAGGCAAATATCAAAACACCTCGATGGGTGGGTGTCTGTCTGGAGGAGGGGGGCATTCCTGGGCAGGCTGTATTTGCATGGGTAGCACCCAGGTGTGATGCTAAGCCCCTATGATTGAAAGTATTGTAAGAAAAGGTAAAATTGAAGCACCACACCACTGATAAGAGGTGTAGATACAACTTTATTCCA